GTGGCATCGGGAGCACGTGGCGGCACCGGGAGCGTGTGGCATCATCCGGAGCGCGCGGTGGCACCGGGAGCGTGGTGACACCGGTAGCGTGTGGTGGCACCAGGAACGCACAGCGGCACCAGAGCGCACGGTGGCACCGGGAGCACGTGGCAGCACCGGGAGCATGGCGCCTGGAGCGCACGGCGGCACCCGGAACGCGGTGGTACCCGGAGCGCGGTGGCACCTGGACCGTGGTGGCACCCGGAGCGCGCGGCGGCACCGCGACGTCCCCGTACGCTTACATGGAGCCGATGAAGGCCACGTCGAACCAGAAGGCCAGGCCGTGCACCAGCCCCGAGTGCAGCATGTGGAACTTGAAGGGGATTTCTATCCTGCAAGGAGCGCGGAGGGCGTCGGGATGATCCCAGCGTCGGGACGATCCCGGCTCCGGATGCGCCCGGAGCGTCGGGCACCCACCTGTGCAAGTCGCCCTCTTTGGCTTCCAAGAAGTTCACCGTGTATTTGACCGACTTGGCCATCAGGATCCGGATGTCGAAGGTGTCCTGGGGCGAGAGGAGCGGGATGAGATCCCGGAATGCCGGCCCGGCTCCGAGGCCGCGGAGCGGCGTGCCGGGAGGAGCTTACCACGACGGGCTGCCTGAAATACTCGTCCACGGCTGCTCCTCGGAGCGCCGAGAGGTCCACGCCGTGGAAGGACGGCTGGTACCTGCCGGGAGAGAACGGGAAAAGCTCGGGAACGGCGTCTCCGGGAAAACCGCTCGGGATGGGGCAGCACTCACCAGAAATTGGCCTTGGTGAACTGCTCCATGTAGAGCTGCTCGTCGGTGAAGGGCGCCAAGTGGACGTCGCCGATGGTGGGGAACATGTTCCCTGCGGAGGGGAGCGGAGGGGTGGGGACGCGTCCCGCGGGATTCCGGGCGGGATGGCGGCTCGGGAAGCGCGGGGGCGGCGCTCACCGCTGGGTTTCAGGTACTTCTTGGCGTGCAGGTAGCTCTCCAGCATGCGCTCGTTGAACAGCATGTAGCCCATGGGCTCCGAGATGATGACGTCCACCTGCTCCGGCAGCGACACCTCCTCCACCTTCCCGGGAATCACCACGATCCGCTCCGTCAGGTTGTTGCTCTTCACCAGCACCTGGGGACGGGCGGCGTCACGAGCCGTGGGGCTATAGGGGGCTATAGGGGCTATAAGGGGCACCTTGGCAGAGCCACGGAGCTATAGGAGGCCATAGGGACTATAGGGGGCTATAGGGGGCACCTTGGCAGAGCCACAGGGCTATAGGGGGCTATAGGGGGCACCTTGGCAGAGCTGTGCGGAGCCACGGGGCTATAGGGGGCTATAGGGGGCACCTTGGCAGAGCTGTGGGGCTATAAGGGGCACCTTGGCAGAGCCACGGGGCTACAGGGGGCTATAGGGGGCACCTTGGCA